AATGCAATCTTGGACTGCATTGAGAGAAGCATAACTTCTAGGAATAAGGAGGGATGGTTATTGTACTCTTTACTTGCCAGGCTACAGTTTAGGAAGGACTTTATTAAGGTAGGTAAAGCCTGGAGGAGGGCAACCAGAATGATGAAGAGTCTCAAGGGGACTGGTTTAAAGAACTGGGTATGTTTAGCCTAGACAAAGCTCAGCAGGAACATATAACTCTCTTTAAATATTTGAAAAACTATCATATGGAAGAAAGATTAGACTTGTTCTATTTGTTCCCAGATTGCAGAGCCAGGAGCAGTGAATGAAAGTTGATGTAGGGGGGTTCATGTTTACATCTAGAAAATTAACTGTACAGATATGGTCAAGGATTACTAGCGCTTTGTGTGGAAATGGTGTGAGTTTTTAAGTTGATCCTAACTGACTCTTATTTGAGCCTATTAATAATGGAATGTAGCTGTGAAAAAAAAAACCAGCCAAAAACTGATGCAATCTTAGGGTGCATTAATAAAAGTATTATGTCCAAAATAACAAAAGGGAATATACTGCCATAATGCATATGGCATTCAGTTCTGTTCATCAGATTCTAGGACAAGATGGAGCTAGGCTGAGGAAGACAACCAGGGTATTATTGATGTAATGTCTTATGAAGAACTGAGGATGTTTAGCTGGAAAAGAGAAGAATAAATGGTAAGGAAAGGGAGAGAGACACATAAGAGCCACCTTCAAATATTTGAAAGAGAAAACCAAGAACTGAAGACCTGCTATGTGGAAGAGAAAGAAGACTTAATTTCTATGTTTCAGAGGTCGCGGTCATGACCAATATTTGGTCATTTAGCTGAGGGATGCAAATTTCATTTTAGTTCTAAGTGGTAAAGTCCCCATCACTTGAAATGTTTAAGCCAACTTGGGAATTTTATAGAAGACTTTTTTCTTTGGATGGATGGTTTTGGGACTAGATGACAAGATTCTATGATTTAAAGCATCTTTACTTCATGTGTTTTCTAAGATTGCATTTTTTATTCTCTTTTCTTCTTGTGTGCACCTCTCAAGGGACTAAAACTGAGATCCTATATACTTCCTTTTCCTTACTCCCTGGCATAATTCCTGCTGAATATATGGAGTGAAAGTCTGCAGGAAAATGATGCTCAGACCAGGCCTTTTTTTCCTTAATTTTTTTTCTAATTGATGTCTCTTGTTTTTATATCATATTTTCTGAATATCTCTCTTCTCTCTCTCTCTCTCTCTCTCTCTCTCTCTCTCTCTCTCTCTCTCTCTCTCTTCTCTCTCTCTCTCTCTCTCTCTCTCTCTTCTCTTTTGTAAGCCATCCCATGCAACAAAGATTAGAAAAGAGGGGAAAAATACTGCTACAAAACTAATCAATACCAAGAAGCAGCTAGGTGGCAAAGTAGATAAGAGCACTAGACTTAGAGTCAGGAAGAATTGAATTCAAGTATGCCTTCAGATACTTACTTAATAGTTGTATGACCTTGGGCAAGCCACTTAATCCCTGTCTACCTCAGTTTCTTAACTGTAAAATGGGAACAATAATAGTACCTACTACCAGGGTTTTTGTATGGATTGAATGAGACAATATTTGTAAAACATTTAATACAATGGGCACGTAGTAGGTACTTATTCTCTCCTCTCCCCCCATAGTGCCCCAACTCTGTTTGCCATGAAAGCAGGGAAAGATATTTTCTTTTTTTAAGGGCTAATGTTGGTCATTATAATGATACAATGTTTAGTTTTAGTTTTTAATCCTTTTTATTTTTGTTGTTATAGTCATTGTGTATATTGTTTTACCATATCTGCTTGCTTCATTCTGCATCAGTTTATGTCTTCCTATGCATTTCTGAATGCTTGTTAGTTATATATTCTTGTGCTGCAATAATTCACATGCATTACACAATTTGTTTAGCCATTTGTTAAATGGTTGCTATCTAATTTGTTTCTGATGTTTTGCTGGGCCACAAAAGGTGCAGTGATGACATTTTCTTTTTTTGAGCTGGGTCTGTGATATTGTTGGTTTAGAGAATCCTTGATAAGTAAACTTTCTGCCAGTGAAGATTATCAGCTGCACTGAAGCTAAAAATCTCAGAGAAGAGGTTGCAGTGAACATCTTGGTATCTTTTGGACTTTTTGTTTTCTGTCTTTGACCTCCTTGAAATATATGCCAAACAATTGTCTGGAGGGTATGGACAATTTAGTCACTTTAAAAAAAATTGCTTTCTAGTATGTGTGGACCTGTTTACGATTCCATCAAGAGTATAATGTCTTGTTGCTTTGTTCCTTCAACCTTTCCAATATTGACAGTTTCCATCTTTTATTAGCCTGGCCAATTTTCTTGGCATTAGGCAAATCCTGAAGATTGTTTTGATTTGGATTTCTTTTGTTATTAGTTATTTGGAATAATTTCATATGGTTGTTTAGAACAGAGGTGTCTGCAAAATCTCCTAAGTGGGTTTGAACCAGATTTAAATGTAATTGGGAACTATTTAACAAAAATAAATAAAAATACAATACAGCATAGATAATGTTAATTTGCTAAGTCAGTATTAGGCCCATAAGGAACTATTTCTATTTGATTTTTATACCAGTGGTTTAGAATATTACAGATTTATTTATTTTCATTTAAAATTTTTTTTGCATGTGTAATCGTGGAAAACACATTTCCGTATTAGTCATGTTGTGAAAGAAGACATACCAAAAGAAAAAAAAGACCAATGAAAAAAATAAATTGAAAAATAGTATACTTTGATCTGCATTCAGATTCCATCAGTTCTTTCTCTAGATGTGGGCAGCATTTTTCAGAAGATTGATTTGGAAAGGACTTTAGGAGCCATTGAGTCTGTTCCCATCCCCTCCTCCAACATTGTGTAGATAAGGAAACTGAGTCACAGAGTGGTTAAATGACTTGTTCAGAGCCATGTAACAAGTAAGTATCTATGGTAGGATTTGAACTCAGGTCCTCTAAGTCCAGTGCCCTGTTTGCTGTTCTTTTGAAAACTATTTGCCCATTCATATCTTTTGATTACATATCCATTGGAAAATGAGCTAGGCCTCTTTCAGCATCAAGTTCACTTTGAAATGTTAGGCAGGCTTAAAGACTCTTCGGTTCTGAACTCCCAAATGCTTGCTTGTATAATGTTTGATTGAAAGAAACGTTTTTGACATTGATTAAAAAGAGATACTATGGTTTAGTAGGATTCTGTGTTCTTGAGCAGAAGATTATTCACTGGCTGCTTCTGGTCCTCCTGGGGGTTCTATTGTCTGCCAGGCTTAGAATTTGAGGAGTGGAAAGAACTTTATAGTCCAGCCCTCTGTATGAATCCCCTCTCCAATATCTGTGAGTGGTTTGCTAACCTTCCCTCTATAGGTAGTGTCCTCCCAACAACCTTGTATGTACTTTGTATTTAATCTGTATATACTCAGTATGTATTTGTCCTTCTACTTGTTAATGATGTCTCCCCCAAAAGAATGTAAGCTGTTCTAATGATGATTATTTCATTTGTGCACTTGGCACAATATTTGGTACATTTGTTGTTGTTCAGTTATGTCCAGCTCTATATGACCCCATGGACTGTTTTTTTTGGCAAAGATACTGGAATGGTTTGCCATTTCCTTCACCAGTGTGTCCCCATTTTATAGATGAGAAACTGATGAAGGGTTAAGTGACTTGCCTAGGGTCACACAGGTAGTAAGTGTTTGAGGCTGGATTTGAACTCAGATCTTCCTGACTCTATCCCCAGTGCTCTATCCACTACACCACCTAGATGGCTATGTTTAGTACATAGGAACTTAATAAGTATATGTTGGTTGATGGATTGCTGGACTTTTGCTGGAACACTTTCAGTGACAGGTAACTCACTACCTAACATTTGACTAGGTACTTCAAAGATTATTGCAGAAGGAGTTAAAAGACCTGGACACTAGCTCTGGTTCTGCCACTAAGTAGTTGTATGACCCTAAGCAAGTCACAAAATCTCTGTAGGCCTCAATTTCCTCCTTGTAAAAAGTGGGGATGAAATTTAATAATAGCTACAGAAGTGACTTGAAAATATGAAATATGATGCAAATGTCAAGTATGATGATGGTGATATGCTTATCAATCATATAAATAATCTGTGAGTTAGTTATACCAATGCCCACAGCCAGGATTAAGCTTGAGAGAAGATCACAGCTATTGGGTATAATACCCTTAAAAACTCCCCTCCTAACCTGTCTCCAATATGTCCAAGTGTTTTGTTTTTCTAAGTAAAGCTGTCAGGCCCCCTATCTTTCATTTTCCATCTTCTGAATTCTCTGTTCAGTGCAAGAGGGGCTTTTAGAGCCAGTGGCTGGGAGTATAACTGGCACATATATCGAATCTCCTTAGTCTGGGCTGTTAAGTAAGTTTAATTAATTTACTAAGTTAATGTTCCACTCCTAGCAACAGAGACTCATTGCCATCAGCTGGGGAGAGGGAATTGAAAGCCTAAATGAGCTCATTTTTTCACAGTTGGAATTAGGGACCAGTTAGCCAGTTGTGTGGGTTTTCCAATTTCTCCCTCTGCCCTGGGGGGGATAAAGGCTATTCACTCCCCCAATGCTAAGTGTGAGTAAGAGCGGGAAGAGAGAAGGGGGAAAGAGAAAAATCTCTCCCCGGTGTTTGTTTCCGTCTTCAAAACAGGCTGTGTCATCCCTGCTTTGCTTGTTCGTTTGGAGTGGGAGAAAGACGATTTTTTTTTTTTTTGCTAATGTTCCTAATAGATTTGGAAAAGAGCAAAGCCTTAGTGAAAGATATTTACCGCATATATTTTCATTGCAGGGGTTGCAGATAAAGGGAAAACAAATAAACAATAAAAGAATGGAAACAAAATTACAGAAATTTGCAAAACTTGACAAATGGTGGCCTGTAGTTGCCACAAGCTAATGGCTTGCAATGATTAATAAGAGTAAAAATAATTGCATTTCATTAAGATTGATGACACCCCATTTAACCTCCCCTCTCATTTCAGCCCTAAAGTGGAAAGAGATGAAGTTCTCATCTATAATAGCTCCTGTAACATTACCATGGAAACTGAGGCAGAGATGGAGTGTGAGGCACCTAATCAGCCATTTACCGCCAAGATTACCGAGATACAGAAAAACTGGGGCCAGAACACTCAGGTATAATCAAATCTTTTTTACAGACTGATCCAAACAGCTCAAAATTAAATTTGTAATATTGTGTACATTAAAAAAACAATTTAGTCTGAATGGTAGCAATATATAATATTAAATGCTTTCAAACTTCGACTAGTGGTTTTAATGCAAAACATCTGCATTCATGGTTAACTATGGTTAATCATATATTTTTTCAAATATAAACGAGGGCTGCCTGGACTCTTATAGAAAATAAAAGTCTATACAGATAATCTTTATAGCATTTGTCCCATTTTCTGGGTGGATATTTTAAAATGAACTCTTTATGTCCCCTTCCAGCCCCACTCTCCAATAAATGTCAAATGATTTGGCCAGTCCCTTTTGCTTGGAAGGATTCCAAATCATTTTAGCTATCCTCAGTATGACAGGAGAGCAACCACTTACTGCTGGGCATATGTCATCTGGTACATCTCTGCTCTGTAGGGAGCAGATTAGAAACTTGGGCTTAACAGATCATTGTAGTGAAACTAGAACTGAAAAGAACCCTAGGATCATCTGGCCACAACCGCCTTTCCCCCATTTCCACCCCCATCTCAGCTCAGGAATATTAGGACCCTGTGAACCAGCCTCTCTGAATGGTTTTAGTCTCAGAGACTCCCAGTGAGTAAGCTTTCCCAACTTCTCTAAGGAATTCCCTGGAGTTGAAACTAGACAATATAATTGGTTTTAGGAGGATGATCCTTCAATATCTCTTTTGGACCCCTCTTTCTTTCATAGTCCAGTTCTTATTTGAAAAGGGAAAAGGATGACCCCTCCTCCATCTGAATTTCTGGCTGGCTAAGGTAGATAAAAACCAGACTCTTCATTTCCCCCCAAGCAGACTCCCTGTCTATTTTTTTTTCTCATAAGAGAGAAATCAGTCTCTATTCTATCTCCAAGTGTGGTACCTTGATGTTATAGTAGACCTTGCCCTTCATATCTAGTAACTACTAAATCCTGTCACTTTGTTTAGCATAATATTCCTTCCCACACTCCAATCTGTCCTACTCAATCAGTCAATTCAATTCAATTAACATTTTAAAAGTTACAAAAGTTGTGCAAGCCACAGTGCACAACAGGGATGCAAAAGGCAAAAATGAAAAGGAAACTGACCTTGCCCTCAGGGAGCTTACATTCTACTGCTCCTATTTTGTCTTCATAATGTGACACCTTATTTGAAGTGAATACCCAGACCATCTAATAAACCCATCAGGACACTGTCCTATTAACAGACATACACACAAATTGCATCCTTCCTCTTTAATCTGTTTTGATCATTACTTTCATTCATTCATTCATTCATTTATTTTTTCATTCATTGGTTTATTTATTTTACTTCCTGCTTTAACCGCAGTTCCATCCCACCATAGCAGCCAGATTCCTAATTTAGGATTTCAAAGACTTAAATCAATATTTTCCACACTGCTTTCCCCTTCCTCATTTTTTATAATAACTAACTCTTGATCATTTGTACTCTTGGAGGGAATTCAGTTCACACTAAGTACTGAAGCCATACTATAATGGAAGACCTGTGAAGCTGGGCAGTTTCCCCAGTTTGGCTCCTGTTCACCTCTTCCCCATAACCTGTCCTGTGCTAGAATTGGACAGCTCCTCCCTCAGATTGCTGTGATAGACTTATCTAAAGGAGATTCATCATTGATTAACCACAACTCCTTCTTTCTTTTTCTGGGATAGAAAAGTGGCTAAATGCTTGGCTTTCAAAGGATTTCCCTACAGAAATTTAGTCTGCATACAAAGCACATAAGCAGATAAATAAGGACAGTACTTGCTAACTGTTAGTATTTTTGTTGTTCAGTTGCTTCAGTCATATCCAACTCTTTGTGACCTCATTTTGGGGTTTTCTTGGCAAAGATATTGGAATGGTTTGCTATTTCGTTCTCCAGCTCATTTTACAGATGAGGAAATGAAGCCAAAGAGGGTTAAGAGACTTGCCCAGGATCACGCAGCTGGCAAGTGTCTGTGACCAGATTTGAACTCAGGAAGATGAATCTTCCTGACTCTAGGTCTGACATTCTATCCCATGTATCACCAGGTTGACCTGTAACACCACGGGAAAGTCTCAGGACTTCAGGCAGCTCACTAAGACTTTAAATTACAGCGAAGTTACTGACCTTTATTTGTGGAGGGAGTTTCCACTCTGGAAGTTCCCCATATCAGTGAAATTGTAGGTCCATGTGGGAGAACCCTGTTCTCCATTTACTAAGTCACTTAATGAGCAAGAGTGGTGAAAAGTGGAGACTGCCCATAGTAGATGTCAAAAATCAAATAATTACTTAGCTTTAGGATGGCTTATCTATTTTAGGAAAACTTTCTAGATGAATAAAGATTGTTCTTGGATTATTTGATTCATTCTTAGGGATGTGTTCACATATTTACTTTTTGTTGTTGTATGACCAGTTGGAGTACTAGATACTCAATAAGTGACTAATTTATTCTTGTGATAGTTTTTGTTAAATATAAATAGTATATCTTGTTATGATTGATTATAACAATGCATTCATTAACAGGGTAATGTGGAATAGTGCAAAGAGATATGGCCTTGAAGCAAGGGAGAGCTGGATTCAAGTCTTACCTCTGACACAAATTGAATGTGTTTCCTTGTTTCCTCGAAGCCCTGGGCAACATTTTAAAACTATAAATTGCACAGAAAGTGCACATCAGCATTGGTAGAGAGAGTCTCTCCTTTGAGAGTCCCCTATAGCAATAAAATCACAGATTTGGATTTCCCCCTCCCCCCCAAAAAGATGTGAATTAAATGCAAGAATGTAGTCAGTTTTCTTTTTAGTGATACTTCTGTGCTGAAGTCCATGGTGCTTAAGCAACAACAATAATAATAACAGGCATTGAGAGAACACTTAAAGGTTTGCAAAGTACTTTACTTGTATTGTCTCATTGATACCCAAAACATCTCTGTGAGGTAGGTGCTATTATTATTCCTATTTTACAGATGGGAAACCTGAAGGTTCATTTACCCAGTATCACATATAGCTAGTTTTATGCATTCAGTTCTTTCTGATGTTATATCTAGTATTCTATCAGCTGTGCTACTTAGCTGCCTCAAAAATGGACAAATAAAAGACATATTCCAAAATTGGAATGTATCCTTTTAAGATCTGCTTGGAAGTTGTACTAGATGCCTTACTGAAGTGTATGATTTTGCATAACCTGAGCCTTAGTGCTATGTATGGATCCTGGTATAATCACATGTATTTAGTTGTCAAAATGATTCAATGATGGAAATTAGAATATGGGTTTCCACTTTCGTTTTGTCTTGAACTATGTTCTTAAAGCATCTGGGCCAAAACAGTAGCCTCAGTTGGCTGTTACTTGGAAGGGCCCCAAGAATTCTTATAAGAGTTTAAAGCAACAAATTTCCATTTTCTAAAGTTGCAACTTATGGATGAACTCAGATCATTCATTCAAAAAATATTCATTGACTGCCTGCTGTTTCTATAGCACTGTGATAGGCCCTCAGTGGGTGTGTATGTATGGTGGGGGTGGGGAATGAGAGACATAGACTTTACCCCCTAGGACCTTTAGCATAGTCATTGGGGGGGAAATAAGTTAATTAACAGTACAAGGTATTATGTGGCATCATGCAAACTAGGATGTATGGATAGAAGGTGCCACCTCTTGCCCTGACAAACACTAGGTGTGGTGGAAAAGTAATCCCTGCTTTAAAGGAAAGGAAAGGGGATTAATATCAGGAGCTTAGCAAGCTAAAACCAGAAGGCCAGGTTGGGGAAGGACAAGAGGATTCTTGGAAGCACTGATATTAAATAGGTTAGTAATTCTGGACCTGGAATCAGGAAGATGTGAGTTCAAATCTGGCCTCAGGAAAGTCCCTGATCCTGGGCAAGTCACTTAACCTCTGTTTGCCTCAGTTTTCTCATCTATAAAATGGGAATAATAATAGCACCTACCTTCCAGATTTGTTGTGAGGATCAAATGAGGTAATATTTGTAAAGTGCCCAGGGCAGTAGGCACTATGTAAATGTTAGCTATTATTTTTCAGTGGCTGAAATACTAATGGTGAGTAAAGCTGTAGGAGACAGTTTTGGTCAGAGGAATGACCATTTGTCAGACTTGGATTATTTTCTTAAGACTTTTTTTTTTAAATAGGGGCTGCCTCCCTTTCTGCTCCTATCTTACATTTCCTTGTATTTCTGGGTTGGGCCCATTAGTCTCCTTTCTGACTCAGCCATACCTTTAGAACTGTGCATTGGGACTAAGATCTTTGAGAAATAGTGTGATGCAATGGATAGAATGCTCACCTTGGAATCAGGAAGGTCTGAGTCCAATAACTGCCTGTAATGCTAATTAGCTGTGTGTCTTGGGCAACTCACTTTACCTCTGTGCCTCAGTTTCCTCATCTGTAAATAACAGGGATGAACTAGTTGGTGCCTAAGCTTCCTTTTATTCCTGAGTCTATGATTCTGTCATCCTCTCTGAGCTACAGCTTTTTTCCCCTATCTTCAAAATGGGTCTAATGATACCTGTGGAACCTTTCTCTTAGGGTCTTTATGAGAATCAAATGAAATAATATATGTAAAATATCCTGAAAACCTTAAAATATTACCTAAGTTTATCAGTGATGATAATGATGATGATGATTGTGGTGATGATGATGATTGGTGTTGAATGTTAATGTGATCCCGGAAAACTTAATGGAGAGACTTGAATCTTTAATAGGATTAGGATTCAGACATGTGGAGAGAAGAGAAGAGAATTTCAGGGGGTGAGGAACATCTGGAACAAAGGTGCAGAGGTGCATATGCGTATTTGGAGACAGTGAATAGATCACTTCACTGAGGTTGTGGATTTGTTTTAGGAAAATGGGAACTGGAGTTGAAAATATAGGTTGGAGGGACTCTTGAAGGTCACTGGATATCATATAATCATCAATTTAGTGGTGGAAATAGTTGTAGAGACCATTTCATTCATAGACCTAGAACTAAAAGGAT